GTACTCTGTTAAGAGCAGAATGTACTCTTAACGTGTCATCTCTCCATCATTAAAAAATAATAATGGGGGCTGGAGAGCTCAGCAGTTAACACTGTCTATTCTTACAGAAGACCAAGGTTCAAATCCCCACACCTACATGGCAGCTAACAACTGTCCATAACTCCAGTTCCAGGGGATCTGACAGTCTCTTCTGTTCTCCGTGAGCATTGCATGACATGGGTGCACTTACCTACATGCGGGCAATACATGCATACACATAAAATAATTTTAAAAAGTGTGCATACAAAGATGCATGTATGGTGGTGACAACTTTGTGGAGTTGGTTCCCTCTTTCCACCTTTATGTGGGTTCTGGGATTCAATACTAGACTGTCAGGCTTGCATGGCAAATGCCTTAACCTGCTGAACCCCATTGGTCTCACTTTTGTCTCCCTAAATTGTATGACTTCACATTTTATTTGAGTGACACTGACACAACCTGCTTGTCTTTGGATATGCCTTTAAATTTTTGGGGGTGTGGTGTTATGCACACACACGTGTGGTGTATGCACCTGTGCACTGCATGGAGGCCAGAGTGTTGGGTGTCTGTTATCCCTTTCCACTTTACTCCTTTTACCATGGTTGCTCCCTGAACCTGGGGTGTTTTTCAGCAAGACTGGAGAGCAATAAGCCCCAGCAATCCTCTTGTCTCTGCCCTACCCTACAGCACTGGGGTTCCAGATGCCCATTGCCACACCTGGTTTTGTTATGTGGGTCCAAGAATCTGAAGACAGGTCCTTATGGGTACCACAGGTGGAACTCTTAATCACCGAGCCATCTTGCCAACCCCTGGATATACTGTGTGCCAGAGGATGACGTCTGGTGTCTTCCCCTATTGCTCCATTTTATTTTTTTGGGACAGTCTCTCATCAAACCTAGAGCTGTTTTCGCTAGATTGGCCAGCAAGCACCTGGGTTTGCTGTCTCTTGCCCTCAGAGCTGGGTTTATGGACATGCACTGTGATGGCCAACCTTTTAGCATGGGTACTGGAGATTTAAACTCAGGGCTTCATACTTGTGCAGCAAGCACGTTACCTATGAAACCATCTCCCCAGCCTTAAGGATATACCTTTTCTATTATTTCTCATCATTCATTAAGACACCTAGCTATTTCCCAGGCTGGGGAGATGGCCCAGGGTTAAGGGCACTGGCTGCTCTTGCAGAGAACCCAGATTTAAAGAACCAGCACCCACACAGAAGCTAATAACTAGGGGATCCAACACCCTTTTCTGGTCTCTGTAGGCATTGCATACACACTGTCCTAGTTTGTTCTCCATTGCTGTGACAAAACACTCTGACCACTACCAACTTAGGGAGGAAAGGGTTTATTTGTCTTACATCTCCCAAGTCACAATTCATCAGGGAGCCCAAGGTAGGAACTCAGGGCAGGAACCTGGAGTCAGGAGTTGGAGAGCAGGCCATGGGGGAACACTACTTACTGGCTTGCTCCCCTGGCCCCTGCTCAGCCTGCTTTCTTATGCAACATAGGCCCACCTGCCCAGGGATGGCACCACTTACAGTAGGCTGGGCCCTCCCACATCACTCATCAAGAAGATGCCCCTCAGAAGTGGCCACAGGCCAGTCCAATAGAGGCAATTCCCTGATTGAGGCTCCCTCAACCCAGGTGTGTCAAGTTGACACTAAAGCTATCCAGCGCGCACACACAGTACACCTACATACATGCAGGCAAAACACTCATACACATTGAAGGAAAAAAGACACCTATTCCTGAATGACCTCTTTCTTCATCTGAAAACCGAGGTTTCTCTTGCCAAATTTCAGGACCCAGTTAAGTAGTAATACAGGTTTCCCTTTCAAGTGTCTTTAATTCTGCTTCATTTTCTCTGTCAATTATCCTTGGGCCTTGTTCAGATCTTCTGAGCAGCTGAACCCATTGTACTTGCTCACATTCATGACTTAATCTATGAAAATAGGCTCTTAAAAAATTTAATTTTTATTTTATGTGTACGTGTGTATTGCCTGTGTGTAGGTAAGTGCACCCGTGTTGTACAATACCTGCAGAAGTCAGAAGAGGCTGTCAGATCCCCTGGAACTGGAGTTACTGACAGTTATTAGCCACCATGTGGGTACTGGGATTTGAACCTGGGTCTTCTGCAAGAACTAGTGTTCTTAACTGCTGAGCCATCTCTCCAGCCCTGAAAACAGGCTTTAAGATTACACAGAAGCAACTAACATTCGGATCACTTTGCTCTCCTTTTGTAGCAAACATCTGCTGTTCAAGACATCTTATTTGGATATCCTCTTCCCAGTCAACTGAAGCCCAGTTAACAACAGCTAAAAAGAGCACCTTTGTGAGAACAATGGCTGACTCTTTCATTTGTTCCAGTGAACTCCAATGAAAGAAAAAGCAAAGTAAGATTGGATTTTTCAGTCTACTTGGATTCAACTTATCAGATCTACTGCCTGTACTTTTTGAGCAGAACTGCCAGAGTAAATCTGAAGAGACAACCCCAGAAGACAAAGATGACAGATATGGGGAATTTGATATGTATATGCAGTTCAGTCTGTTGCATCCATGTTCTCCAAGATCCATACTTGTCAGAGCTGGAATGGACATCAGGTGTTTTGAAGCCTACGTCTGCTCCATTGTTCTTCTGATTCTGCTCAGTGCCTGGAGAGCAAGTGCATGCAGACTGCCTAGGTGCTCGTGGGGGACATGCTCTTGGCAGCTTGCTGGGCTATCCAGTGCTTGTATCTTTTGGTTTTGGGCTTCTGAAAGAGCACTACAGACATAGGAACTCTCACAGTGTCGAGCCCATTTACCTGAAAACACACATAAAACACACAAATATTCAGCAATCAGTCAGAAAGAGCTAATACCACCCAACCCCACGTTTTCATGTTGATTTTTCTCCCAATCAAAGAGGAAAATACTTGAAACACTCACTGTTACGTCACACCAGTACTCGCCCCACCGTGTGATAGATTCCTCTGGTAACTTCAATGCATGTGGGGCAACCACAACACCAAGCTGCAAACAAACAAAAACAAAAAACCCAGCCAAATAAACTCTTAGGGCTACCACTCCGGGCAACCTCATAAAGACGGTTCTGGTCTAGAATATCCAGTACCAGAATGAACAGAACTAGAAAATGTACTCCGGCTGACCTCACAGAAGGCACAGACCTCCACACATGAAACAGTAACTCAATCTTAATTTCTCAGAAACGGTGGAGGAGTTACAAAGAGAACAGGTACCAAGATCAAAACTACTTTATCCACAAAAGTTAACAGTTCTCCAGTGAATCACATACTCCCAGGTTTTTCCTAGAGAAAATGAATGGAAACCACAACGTTTTCCTATTAGGCTTTAAACTCTGTGACTATCTTTACTTCTGAGCCACATCCCTCTCATATTCCTGGCAAAGCAACCAAGAATACCTTCCCTAACCAGCTGGGTGGAATCCTTTCCTAACAAAGGTTCCAATCCTGAGTCTCCTTCCCAGAGGCAGCTTCTACCCAAGGAAGCAGTGGTTTGGGGTAACCCTCACATTTTTGAAGAAATGGCGGGAAACTATTTCAGGAGTCAGTTCCCATTTCACATTGTTCTTCATTCCCACCTCCAAGTGGCAGCTTCTCAGGAATTTCACTGTCTGAAAGGAATTATAAGTAAGGGCTGGATTAAAATTGGAGTCAAAGGAGAGGAAACATGTTGAGAGTCACAAGGTCTGGGCCTGGAGAGGTGGTTCAGGGGTTAAGAGCACTTGCTGTTTTTCTGGAGGACCATGGTGGCTTTCATCCTCTTCTGGCCTTTCATGGGTGCTATATACATACCAGTAATCATACCTGCCATCAAAATACTTATACAAAAACAAACAAACAAAAAACTCACTTAGACAAATAAAAATAATTCATTAAAAAAAAAAGTCACAAACTCTGGAGTTCAGAAAAAGGACTTCATTTCTGCCCTACAGCCAAGGTAAGTGAAAATATTATCTTTTTGTCTCAAGGCTGATATGGTAGAAAAATATTTCTATCAAGACTTTATACATGATCTATACATGATCATAAGGTCAGGGCTGTCCTTGACTACATAGTAAGTTGAAGGCCCACTTGGGTTCTATGAAACCCTATCTCAAAAACAAAATAACACACCTAAATATCCACTTATATTTTTATGCCTTACAAACATTTTCTTCACCTTCCTGTTGGTTCAAAATCTACTTGGTTCAAAAGGCTTAATTTAATACTATATGAAAGAGCCCTCTCCATGAACTCCCAAACCCATTATGGTCCATGTAACACTTAAATTTTCTGCCTTGAGTTTAATTTCTTACGTGTCTATGTTTTCTTCAAGTTGTTTGTGAAGGGAGAGCCCTTACTTAACATTTTCCCATGAATGCCTGAGGCCCAGACTGGAGACTGCTTCAAAAAACTAGAGCAGTTTTGGCAAAGAACCCGAGGTCAAAGATGTCATGAACAAGTACTTCAAAAGTAAGAAATGAACAACAAAAAAAATCTGGTGCACAGCCAGGCATGGTGGCATATGCCTTTAGTCTCAACACTTGGGAGACAGAAGGCAGATCTCAGAGTATCTGAGGCTAGACTTGCTACATAGCAAGTTCCAAGTCACATAGGGCTATACAGTGATACCCTCTCTTTAAAAAAGATAAGGTGCATTTTCTCAAAGGAAGGAAGAGGGCTTGGACACTTCCTGCCACAGGTCAACATTTCCTGCTGTCTCCATGCCAGTTCCGCAGAGTAGCCACAATACTTGCTCTCATCCTTGTGGCAGTAAGTAAGTAGACTTCAGGGACATCAGGAAAATTCTCAGAAAGAGGGTGGTGACCTCTGTAGGGATAGGTAAAAACTTCCTACTCACCGCCTCTCCTGCCTTGGTCTGGATCCTCTCTAGTCTTCCTTCTTGTCTCATCTAGAAAAGATGAAAATATGAAGAAAAGAGCCCATGCTAAGTATGAGTCTTACTCTGCCATGGACAGGCTGAGTATCTGAATTCTTGCTACAATTCCTACTTCATCTTCAAATTAAGTATCAAAGGAAGGAAATTCCTAGAGGGAACCTTTAAGATTTTTTTTTCCTCCAACTCCTCTGAACTCACCAATTTCTCCTCTTCAAACAGCTTCCTGTTTTCAGGGGATGCATATACAGCCAGTCCCTGAGAAAGGAGTTGATTACGACCAACAGATTTCTTCACTGAGACCAGATCACCCCGGACTCCAATTTCTGCCAACCAGAACAGGAACACCAGATGAAAACTATCCAGGTGTCCCTACTGACATGACCAGCTTGGGGTACAGCCCAGTTTTAAAGAGCCTGCCTTAGTATCAGACACGCTCCTTATTTTCTGTTTGTTTTCTTCCTTTAAAATGTTAATTCACTGGGGCCAGGGAGACGGCCTCCTGGCCAATCCTCTGCAAGCAGGAGTACCCGAGCTTGGATCTCAAGGGCTGCCTCTCCTTCCCCACCACGTGGTCCTGGGACTGTAACCTTGCACTGGGGCGGAGGGGAAGGTGGGTTCCAGGAGTTGGACGGCCAGCCAGTCTGGCCAACCGGTGAAGGCTGTGTTCAGTGAAAGACCCAGTCTCAAAAGACACCAGGGACCTCTGACCTCCACACACACTACATACACTTGTCAAACTTCTAGTTTACGAGCTGGTGTAGAAATTTGGTATTCCTTGTATAAATGAACTCAATCACAGGATTTCATTATCTATGGCACAAACTGTCAGGCTTCTCTCCCCAGGTTAATAGTGCGGCGCACACATTTTAATGTTCAGTGCTGGGGGCCAGTATCTGAATCACAGTACATTTTATAACCTCTTCTCAGTAGGGCTATTTCCACAATGTAGAAAGAACAACTGAGAGGGAGCAGGAGCAAGCCAATGCCAAACCCGAACAGCCCTGGGATGGGGGTGGGGGAGCCTTACCCTCTACAGACTGCGTGAGGATGAGCTCCAGGGGCTCTGGGGGTCGGTGCTTTGTGTCCTCCACCAGCTTATAGACGCGGTGTCGTCGGTGCAGGCGCGGCTTTCTGCCCTCCCCGGCCAGCGGCACCCTCCACCAGCGCTCCACGACGACCGCGCTCTGGGGCCAGGGAGGCTAGAGTGAGCAAGTGCCCGCAGAGCCCCCGGCCCCCCGACAGCGCGGCCGACGCTTCCACCCCGCCGCCAGGCCGCCTGCACCCGGCGTCCCCTTCCTCCCCGCCCCCCACCAGCACCGCCTGCACCCGCCCCTCGGCCTCAGCGCGCCCAGACACCGTCTGTACCCCAAGCCCAGCCGGCCCTCACCCAACGGTGAGAGAGACTGAAGTCGCGCTCCAGCCCCGGGCTGCCTCCTTCAATTCCGGCTCGGGGTAGCGCGACTCCGGGCCGCAGTAGAGCAGCGCCGGCCCGCAACAGAGCTCGACCCGGGGCAGCCACCACGGCCGCCGCCATGATCCCGCCGACGGAGCCGGAGGAAGGACCCCACGCACGCGCAGAAGGGCCTTCCGGGCTGCCCGCGGCGCGCCAGAGCCGCACGAAGACCCTGGACAGGGGTCGGGATGTTCCACGCCCGCGACAGGAAGGCGGGGATCACAGCTCCTCAGTTTCCTCACCGCTCTCCCTGTGTTTTCCTTTGGGGGGAAAGGGGGTGGGTGACTTCCATAATTACTGACAGGTAATGGAATGAGTATTAAGTGAGCTGACAATGAGGGGGACAGGGCGTCCTTGGTGACGCACACCGGTAAATCTCCCAATGCTGGATGCAGAGGCAGGATTGCGGCAAATTCCAAGCTAGCTGATCTACGTAGCATGTTCGAGGCCAGCCCAGAGCTATATAGGGAGACCCTGTCTCAAAATAAAAATAAAATGGGGCTTTGATTTCTTTCCAGTTGCTTTCTAATGTACTATAATTACTGAACACTAACAGGAGGATGCTGTTGTCAATTTTCCTGTAAACCTACCTAATAGTAGTAGGATGAGATCTTCTGGAAAACTGCTAATCCCGAGGACAAACCTAATCCCCAATCCTTATACTGCTGTATTTTAGCTAACAGCTAAAGAATTCTAAATCATAAGCCACATAAACCATAGAGGAAAAACGAAACAAAAAACAAAAAACAAAAACAAACATTATAGTAGGGCCAAACAGTTCCTTCTGAGGAGAGTCTCAGTACTGGATAGAAGACCACAAAAACAGGACGAAAAGTGGTCTGTTTGGCAGAGAAGAATGTGAAAAGATGCACCATGCCTTAGCTTATGTGCCCTTAGGCCTTTCCTGGTTTCCAGGACACGGCTCTCCAAGTCTCTCCTTGCTGATCTTTTTCATAGCGTGCACTCGGCACTCAGTAATGGAATTTTACTCCTTAGTGTCCGCTGTCTTCATGATCCCCACTAGTATTAAGGCTGATTAACTGCTATTTATATGCTAAATTGATGTACAAATTTCTCTTAGACTTTCACAACGTTCACATTGGAATATCCAACTTCTCTTTATAGGTCTTAAATTTAACTTCTGCCTCTTTACCACAAACTATCTCACCTGCAGCCTTTCCTATTTTCAGTTGATGGGCCACCCCATTTTTACCAGTTCTTGGACTCATCTTAGCTCCTTTATCTCACAGTCCGTTGACACATGTTCTGGTTTACTGCCTGGGTGAGAGCTGGAGGAGAGGCTGTCTATAGCTAGGTGTGATGGCTCATTATAAGGATCCAGTCCTGACATATCCCAATTGAGTTAAGTCCAGGAAGTGCCATGGTTTAATAGTGCCTCCGTCCCCAGGAGAGTGAAGAATTATTCCTGGAAAGAAGCTGTGACTTTAAAGACTGATTGATTAGATTGCCAATGACGTGGCGAGGTTGGAATGTTGCAAGTCCAGAGTCAAATATCTTTGAGTTATCTTCTCCTTAATAGCCATTTATTAACCTCCTCTGTATGTGATCTAACATCTTCATGATGATTAGGTAAATTGTTTTGCAGTATGTAAACAGACCTCTAGTTTCCACCAACCAAAAGGTAAAGAATACCCTCAGCATCTGAGGTCTCTACCTGAGCTTTCCCCCATTTTGCTATAACCAATGTATTTGATGTACCAACCAATATACTTGAAATGTGTTGATTTATAACTTGCTTTGTTCTGTTACTATAAAACCATGAGATTGGTAGCTCATTGGAACATGATATTTGGGGAGAGCCTGAATTTCTTTTCCTGGGCCATAGTCATTCATATTTAGCTCCAGAATAAACCATTTCCTTTGTTCCTTTGAGGTGATAATGGTTTCTTTAGCAAACAGTGGGAACAGGAAAAGAACAATCCATATGATAGTTCATAAGTTTGGACCAATTTAGAAGCGATTCTTCCCTAAATAGAGAAGATTATGTCAGCTTATGTTACAAAAACAGAATCCTTGAGTTCTTCAATTTAGGAAATGAATTAGTGTGGGAAAGTGAGGTCCTCAGAGTTTAGCAATTAGTTGAAGTTGTGAGAAGACAATCCAGAAAAAAGAGGAAATTACTCATGCTTTCTGTACAAACAGTGGCCTTGCATATGTGCAGATTTGTGTTTCTTTTCCTTTGAATTGGCTGCTTGCCTGTGTGGATAATCACATTAATTACCCAAGAAAGCTAAAAGAGAGATAGGTCAGAAAAATTAGGACCTGGCAGGACCATCTCCTCAGATGAGAACAATTATCAAAGCTGCTTGCTACCTTGGTCAGCCCCTGTAAGAATGTGGCATTTTGTAACTCAGACACATGTAAGGCCAAGGAAAAAGTGTGTTAAAAAAAAATGAACTAAGCCGGGCATGGTGGTACAAGCCTTTAGTTCTAGCACTTGGGAGGCAGAGGCAGGCAGATCTCTGAGTTCAGGCCAGCTGGGGCAACAGGAAGACCCTGTCTCAAAAAGACCAAAAAAAAAAAAAGTGCTGGGCGTGGTAGTGCACGCCTTTAATCCCAGCACTCAGGAGGCAGAGGCAGGCGGATCTCTGTGAGTTCAAGGTCAGCCTGGTCTACATAGTGAGTTCCAGGACAGCTGGGGCTACAGGGAGACCCTGTCTTAAAAAGACCAAAAATAAATAAATAAATAAATAAATAAATAGAAAAAAAACAAAATTTAAGTGGCAAGGCTGGCAAAATGGTTTAGTGGGCACTTGCTGCACAACCCTGATGACTTGAGTTACATCCCCAGAACACGTTTAAAAAAAAAAAAAAACAAAAGCCAGAGGAAATGGCTTGAGTCTGAAATCTCAGCCCCAGCACTCCTATGGCAAGAGAGGAGGTAGAGACAAGAGAATTATCCAGAAGCTCATGTTTGTGGTACAGTAGCAGAAATAATGAGAGACCCTGCCTCAAAAAGTGGAGGAGAGAATAGACTCCTGAAAAAGCTGTCCTCTGATCTTCACGTGTGCTGGTATGTGTGCAGGTGCCTGTATGTAGCAGCCAGGGAAGGACATCAGGTGTCCTGCTCTGCCTTATTCCCTTAAGACAAGGTCTCTCACTGAGTCTGGGGATAGACAGGCAGGAAGCCCCAGCTATCCTCTTGTCTCGACCTCCCACAGCACTGGAGTTACAGGCACGTGGCCACACCCAGCTTTTTAGTTGGTACTGGGGATTCAAACTCAGGTCCTTATGCTTGTACAGCAAATGCTCTTACCCACTGAGCATTTCCCCAGCACCAAGATTTCTTGTTTTGATTGACAGTCATGGGTTAATTTTTTGTTCATTGCGCACGTTCTTTCCCATGGTGCATCTGATTTTAATCATATGCATGACCAATCATTCATAGGTATAAGACAGTAAATATGGTATTTCCCCTAAAAGTTTACTCAGAAACACAGTTTGCTTATTGCATATACACCCAACACTAGCCCAGGCTGCATCAGCTGCTTCCACCTAGTTCCAGAATATGCTTCAGGATGTGTTTGACCACACACACACACACACACACAAAAGAATTACTAAGGGTTTTTAGGGAGCTGTAGGTGGAGTTACTGTTTTTTCTATTTTTTTTTGAGGTGTGTGTGTGTGTGTCTCCATGCCAGTGGGGGGTCCCAGGTTGCTAAGTGTTGGGTCACCAAGCTATCCCTCTGCCTGACTCACCACCATCTCTAATGTTGTTGCTCTGGAATAAGACTCTTTCTCTTGGGTGACTGTAGTAGTTTTCCAACAATAGATGTCCACTGTATAGTTTTTTTTTTTCTTTTTGAAACAGGGTCTCCCTGTAGCCCCAGCTGGCCTTGAACTCACAGAGATCCACCTGCCTCTGCCTCCCAAGTGCTGGGACTATAGTCATGTGCCACCACACTTGGCCATGTCCACTGTATAGTTTTATAGTGTAGCAATCGGAAGGATTTTTTTCCCCCCAAGCCAGGTTTGGGGGCACATGCTTTCAAATCTCAGCACTTAGTTAGAGGCAGGAGTATCAGAAGTTCAAAGTTATCCTTGCCTACATAGCTAGTTCTAGACTATTATTGGTTGCATGAGACCTTGTCTTTTCTAATATTTTAAAATATTTTTTATTTATTATTTTATGTGTATGAGTGTATTGCCTGCATGTAGGTAAGTGCACCCATGTCCTGAGGCTGTCAGATCCCCTGGAACTGGAGTTACGGACAGTTGTTAGCTGCCATGTGGGTGCTGGGAATTGAACCTGGGTCTTCTGCAAGAACAACCAGTGTTTGTTCTTAATCTCTGAGCCATCCCTCCAGCCCCTTTTAAAATATTTTGTTTTTATTTTATATGTACGAGTGTACTGCCTGCATGTATGTGAATGCACCCATGTCCTGCAATGCCATGGAGGTCAGAAAAGGGCTTCAGATTCCCCTGGAACTGGAGTTAAGGACGGTTTGCAGCCACCATATGGGTGCTGTGAATCAAACCTGGGTCCTCTACAAGAGCAGTCAGTGCTTTTAACTGCTGAGCCATCTCTCCAGCCCCAAGACTGTGTCTTTTTAAAAAAAGGATTTTTTTCCCTTTTTCCCTTTGAGGCATGGTCTCATTGTATAGCTAGCCCAAGTTAACCTCAACCTCAAACTCTTGACCTGCCTCAGCCTCTGAAGTGCTGAGATTATAGGTGTGCACCACTGTGCCTGGCTAAGGATCATTTATAAAGCATGTAGTTTCATGTCATTTTTCCACCCAGAACACTGTTTAACCACTTCCCCTTTATGCAAAAGAAAAAGCCCATATAGTGGTCTAGGTGGCTCTGTATCATGTGGCCCTATTAGCTCATTCCCTGTAGCTTATACTGCCCCATTCACTTCAGTGGCTATCTTGCTTTCTTGAAAACACCAGGCACCCTGAACTTTTGCACTGCTATTGCTTCTGAATAAGGTGCTCTTATCCCTAGACACTAGCTTGGTTAACAACCTAAGTCTTTCAGTGAGGCCCACTTGGATCACACTATTTGTTACTGAAACCCTGCTGTATCCTCACATTCCTGATTTTTTTTTTTTTCCTGCTGGGAATTAAACTTAGGACCTTGCATGTGCTAGGCAAGCACTCTATCGCTGAGCTATATTCCTAGCCTTGTTACTTTGGTTTTGTTTTTTAAGACAGGGTCTCACTATGTAGCCCTGTCTGGCCTGGGACTTTCTGCAGACCAGGGTGGCTCCAATACAGAGACCCATCTGCCTCGGTCTTCCGAGTGCTGGCATTAAGGATATGTGCCACTATGCTGGCCTGATCCTCTTTCAACCTGCCTTCCCCCCAACATTTCTCGTTTAATGTATTTTCTGGGTTTGTTTTCTCACTTTTAGAAGTTCCGTAGAGCAAAAGAGCTTTCTTTGTTCACTGCTACCTGAAGCACTCAGAGTGGTGCCTTGCCCTCATTAAATATATGCATGAATAAATTTGAAGAGGCCTCAAACTGGTGGTTCCAGAACCAAATTTTGCTCAAGTAATTTATCATAAAATCTTTCTAGTTTTTGTTGGAAAATTCTAAGACCTGGCACCACTGACTCTGTATTCCTGCACAGCAAATGATTGCTGGGCTGTGCTGGTGTGAGCTTTCCATCATTTGAATATGGCCTCACTCTGTAACTCACTAATTTCTACAGGCTGTGTACTCACAGCCCCCCCCCCCCTACAGGGGAGAGAGAGGAGAGGAGAGGGGAGGAGAGGGGAGGGGAGAGTGGAGGAGGGGGGAGGGGGAGAGAAAGAGAGGAGACAGAGACAGAGCTAGAGCTAGGGAGAGGAGAGGAATTTTGAAATGGGTTTTACCATGTGGCACTGGCCAGCCAGAACCTTGCTACACAGAACAAGATGATCTCATACTTTCATCAATCCTGCCAGCTCTGCTTTCTGACTGCTGGGATTATAGATGTGTACCACCCACCCAGCTCAGTTCCTTGGAGATTTTTAATTTGGGGTCCCTATTCTACAAAGGAAACTTCTAGGCTAATTAATGGGAGGGATAATAGTAAACAGTAAATTGTGAAAAAACTACTAAATCAGGTCAGTGCTGGATCAGGGTCTTTGAAGCTTACGCAGGACACCAACTCTTCAGTTGCTAGATTTCAGAATGGGATGTCTCAGAGGCCAGGTGGTGGGTGTAAGTGCTCAAGTAGGGCTATTTGTTAACTAGAACAGAGTGTTAAAGCATTTTAAACCGATATTACTGTAAAACATAATTAGTTGAATGTGAGCCTTGGTTAAGGGGGCAGGGTGGGGTAGGAGTGACATAAGTGCTGACCTCTTGTCTATGTCATAGTGCCTACCTGGTCACAATGCACAAGGTTGCCTGAAACTCTGCCACCCAACTCCCTCACTTTGCCGCAGGGAGGCACTGAACAGAGAAACTGCCTTGTTTCAGGTCCCACCCCTCTCTCTACTCCCTTTCTTATATCAAGAGGGGAAAAACACGGAACTACCTCTACCCTCTCTGGTCACCATACGCCTATTACCTTTACTGCTACAAATACCGGATCAGCCTCCGGGAAAAGATGCTGCCTTGTTGTTACAGAAGGTACTTATCTTCATTTCTAATTGTAGTTTACATAAAGTATATAAAAAATGTTGATAGAATTTCCTAAGTGGCAGGGTAAAATCCTGGCACAGAATTTGTAATTTTTCAATTTGATTGGCCTGGGAAAATGAACAAGCTAGTCCCTAGATAACACAGAAAATAGTGCCAGATACTGGTCCATATATACCTGGAAGTTATGAAGCTTTCTTCATCTTAGGCTGAGTGAACTAATTTTGGTTTCTTTTTGCCAACAAGCATCACTTACAAGGAGCAGGAGGACCTGACACTCAGGCCCCATTGCTGCCTCCAGTGCTCCTGAGTCCCTAGGAGGCTTCCAGGTGGGCAGAAGCACTGAGCAGGAAAAAGATCACAGCCAGCTTAAAGAAGTGTATTCAGTAAGTAGACGGTGAGCTGGTGTGGTGGGGCTTGCTGTGATGCCTTGCAGAGGAGGGAACATTAGCTAGTTGATAATCATAAAAATTAGAGGTAGATCAAACCTCACAATTCATGTGTAAAATCTATTTTCTTTTAAGACAAGGATTCTGGCCCAGAGAACTTATGGTGATATATTTGGTAGTGAAGAACAGGATGGGAAAAGTGGAAACAAAGGCAGAGCAGACTGCAGCAGGACTAAGGGACAGGTTGGAGCTAGCCTGTATCCCAGTTACATTGAAGGTCTGCTGGGATACAAAGTGAATTCAAGGTCAGCCTTGGCAATGTACCAAGACCTCATCTCCCCCATTATTCCCACAAAAAGTAAAAATATAGTAAAAATAAGCAGGAATATAGCTTATTGGTAGAGTACATGCCTAGCATGAGTGAGGCCCCCCTCACCTCAGGTTCAATATCTGGTACTGGAAGGTGCTCCCAGGCTTTTGATAGTTTGATATCAAGGAGAACTCAGTAACACGGATGGCTAGTCCCCAGGTTTAAGGGCTATTGTTGCACCTCTAAGATATCACTTCTCCAGCCTCCTTTGTTTGCTCTTCCTTGGCTCTAAGAAGCATCCAAATCTGCCTGAGATCTGATTGGAAAACTAGATGAGCACAGAAGCAGATTATTACTCTCAATTTTATTTCTTTTCCAGGCTGGAAACCTGATAGTGCTATCGACTGACCCCCTGCTTCAACAGAACCCAGTTCAGTTAGACTTCCACTTTCGCCACACCCCCCATTCCTCTGCTCATTGGCACGGCCTTCTTTGTGACCACAGACTCTTCCTGGATATCCCACATCAGGCCTTGGATCAGGGCAACCGGGAAAGGTGAGTGAGCAGTATGAGTGGAGGGAGGGAAGGGCTGGCGCATTCTACCCTTTATCCTGTCACAGTCAGTAAGTGGGGCTGATTCAGGGTCTGGATCAGACACACAAACCACATTAGCAGCATAAAAATAAGCCTGTAAATTGAACCAAGCTGATGTTCAAGGGAAGGTTGCTAGACCAGGATTCAGGACAAACAAAGTGAGGATCCAAAATAGTCGAACACTTTCCAGCTGCTGTCTCTTCTTCAAGACCCCTTCTGTGACCTACACTTTAGTCAGGTGCAATCTTTTTCAGAGAAAGTTAGCAAATAGTTTAGTGACTCTAATATCCTGGTTTGGGCAGGTAGCAAAAAGCTACCAACATTTTTTTTAGCTCTATCTTCCTAGATTGTATGGGCTGAATATTTCATTAATGTTTTCTGTCTCGCCTCTAGTTTAACAGCAACACTGGAGTATGTGGAGGAAAAAACCAATGTGGACTCGGTGTTTGTGAACTTCCAAAACAATCGGAAAGACAGAGGTGGGGAATCTTCCTAGATCTTTGTGCTTAGGCTCCTTTGGACAAAGCTTCTGCTTTATTTATTTTTATAAAAGGTACCCTCTGGTATTTCAGGAACTTTGCCCCTTCTTCTGCAAAAGGAAATTGAGGCACCAGTTATCTATTCAGTCCCTTTACAACTGGACTATCAGGAAGCCTCTGCAGGTGGTATCAGAGGCCAGACTAAGGGAGCACCGGTGGAATTACGCAGAATCCATTCATGGGGATATGGTAACTTGAGAAAGGACCTCAAGAAAATATAATCAAGTATTCACAATGTGAAAGGGACAAGCATAAGGACAGAAAGACAGGAATATACTCAACCAGATGCCTGGGTATATTATAGAAACTATACCTTCTTCCCTCAGTTTACACTCTGCTGGATAGAAGACAAAATTAGCTGGGCCTATAATCCCAGTATTTGGGAGGCTGAGGCAGGAGAATACAGAGCTCAAAGCCAGACTGGACTACATAGTGAGACCCTGTCTCAAACAACAACAAAATCCCAAACCAAAGGCTGGTCAATAACCAACAATAATAGATAAAATGACAGAGTTTATCATGCCATGATTGCATTAAACCTTAGATGTGATAAATATCACATCTAAATTCTGTGAGGAAGGTTCTCATTTCCACTTTATAAAATGAGAAAACTAGCTGGGTGTGGTGGTGAGCGCCTTTAGTTCCAGCACTTGGGAGGCAGAGGCAGGCAGATCTCTGTGAGTTCCAGGCCAGCTGGAGCTACAGGGAGACCCTGTCTCAAAAAGACCAAAAACAAAACAAAACAAAACAAAACAAAACAAATCAATCAATCAAACTAACTAACTAACTAACTAACTAACTAACTAACTAACTAGAGGTTAGGAGGGTTAACTCAGAATGTTATAAGCAAACATCAAAGCCAGGGTTAGAGCCTGTTTCATTCCAAGTACATCCTAAGCCTGCACTACACTGTTTTCCAGAGGTCACTCCCTGGTGGAAGAAACCAAATCTGAGGGAATACATGGGTTGAGTTTGATGAGTTCTAATAATTTATTCTGTTCCTCCACAGGTGCCCTGCTGCGAGCTTTTAGCTACATGGGCTTTGAGGTGGTCAGGCCAGATCATCCTGCCCTCCCTCCCTGGGACAATGTCATCTTCATGGTGTATCCCCTTGAAAGGGACCTTGGCCAACCTGGCCAGTGAGCCTCCCTAGCTTTTTCCACCTCTGTGAGGAGCTGGAAACCTCAACACATAGGACTCTGGGGCCCAGGATGCGATTTAAGATGCTTCCATCCTAGGAAATAAAGGGTAGTGCAATCAAAGTGTTCACGATTTCTTGGGAAAGGGAAAGTTGGAGTGGAATATGAACCTTACAGAGCTAAATTCACTGCAGGACACACTTAGTGACTGAACAGATCAGAGGTTCCTGATCAGTACACAGGGGAAGGATTAACAGGTTTTAGGCTCCCTTTCCTTTCTTCTTAGCTCCAAACCATTTTGCCATTCAACCCATTTACTGAGCACTTGCCAAGGTTGATGGCCAATCAAATAGGGAGTTCAGGAAGACTAACCCTTGCTAGGATGCATTTATATATTTCAATTCAAACTAGAGACAAGTGCCAATTCCTTCTCTTTTAATGTGGAGAAAACCAGAGAAAGTGCATAAATCCCCAAGGGAAGATCACAGCAAATTAAATAACAGAAAGAACATTTCAGACATCAAGTACTGGGTTGTATAGAAGAATGATGATGAACTCATAGGATGAGCTATAAACTGACAAGACATGAGGGATACATTAAAGGAATAGAGATTTCCTGTTTTTGAGACAGGGTCTCATGCAGCTCAGGCTAGCTTCAAACTCATTATGTAGCAGAAAAGGACCTCCCAGATGCTGAGATTACGGGTGTGAACCACAATTGATTTTAAGAATAGATTTGGGGGGCAGAGTAGAGGCTGGCGAGATGGCTCTGGTTGAGAGCACTGGCTGTTGTTGCAGAGGACCTGGATTTGGTTCCCAGCACCCACATGGCAGCTAACAACTGTCTAACTCCAGTTCCAGGGTATCCAATGTTCTCTTCTTGCTTGCACTGCACATATACAGTGCACTCATAAGCAGTCAAGATACTCATAAAATAAAAAATAAAAACATACTTCTGTAAAAAATGCCATTGGAGGGGCTAGAGCGATGGCTCCGTGGTTAAGAGCACTGACTGCTCTTGCAGAGGACCCAGGTTCGATTCCCAGCACCCACATGGTGGCTGCAAACCATCCTTAACTCCAGTTCCAGGGGAATCCAAAGCCCCTCTTCTGACCTCCGCAGCATTGCACAATACAGGTGCACTCACATCCATGCAGGCAATACACTCATACACATAAAAATAATAAAATATTTAAAAAAACATCATATAAAGCAGGTAAGAGACTACTTTGAAAAATGAGTAGTCTTGTTAAACTGCTGTTCATAGTGTGCTCTCTAACCCTTGAAAGAACAGCAGCACTAAGGAAACTAGGACTGTATGTTGTAGAGTAACTACAATGCAGGGCTGGGCATGCTACAAGGTTCACTGCAGCTGGGAACTGAAACATTCAGTCAAGGGAAGCCTGTCTTGGATTCCTCCAGGACTACAAGAGTTACCCAAATTGTTCCTCATTTAAAGTCTTTCTGTGATTGGTTCTGAGAATTCTGAAACTAGGGTGTTGCACATGATATGGAAGGGCTATATACCACTGAGCTACATCCCTAGCCTCTTTTTACCTTTAGAGACAGGGTCTTTAACTTTCATTCTCCTCACCTTGGCCTCCAGATAGCTGGGATTACAGCCAGTGCCACCAGGATGCCTACTAACCCTAGAGTTCAAAAAGGCCTGCATAGGTATCCTTATATATCTATTTCACATTTTTCAGTTTATCTTGCCTTGTTTCTTCAAGTTCATTTGCCCTTAAAATCACTGCTATGCACTCATATCTCAAGTACTGTCACAGTTCTCAATGGAGCCTCACAATATGGTCAGAAATAAGGAAACTGGTAACCTAAAGTCTTAACAGTGAGTTTATAGTGAAGGCCTACTCCTGGAACCTAGGTTTCTTGAATACCAATCTAGGCCCTGTATTCCAGTGTAAGTGGAGTCTTCTGTACATAGCCTAACTTAAATTGGTTCTGGTTCCTACAGAATGGTTGATTCTTGAAGTAACTTCTTTTTAAAAAATTTTTTATTTTAAAAAATTTTATGTGTATGCGTGTATTGCCTGCATGTAGGTAAGTGCACCCATGTTGTGCAATGCCCATGGAGGACAGCAAAGGCTGTCGGATCCCCTGGAACTGGAGTTATGGACAGTTGTTAGCTGCTATGTGGGTGCTGGGATTTGAACCTGGGTTTTCTGCAAGAACAACCAATGTTCTTAACTGCTGGGCAATCTCTCCAGCCCCTTATTTATTATTTTTATTTTATGTGTTATGTGTGTATTGCCTGCATGTAGGTAAATGCACCCGTGTTGTGCAATATTCGTGGAGGTCAGAAGAGGCTGTTGGATTCCCCTGGGACTGGAGTTACAGATAGTTGTTAGCTGCCATGAGGGTGCTGGGATTTGAACCTGGGTCTTCTTCAACAATAACCAGTGTTCTTAACTGCTGAGCCATCTCTCCAGCCCTGATTCTTGAAGTAACTCTTGGGGAACAATATGAATGCCTGTATGAAAAAGACACTTCGCAAATGGGCATCTATGTGAGGCAGCTGGCAATTACCAAGATTTAGACTCAGAATGGACTTTACCCACAGGCCTCCTTCCATTTTGTGTCGCAATGAACATCTGGCTTTAGATAATTTTTTTGAGAACTTTAATCAGCAAACAATTTTGCAAATGATTTAAACAGAACTACACATTCTCTTTCTATAGCTGTGTGTATACATACAGACACAGCACTCGCAATTTACAACATTCCCGAGTTTCCCCTTCCCCTCTTCCTTTCTACTTGTATTTTAACTAAAGTTCACAGGGACACAACATAGTTGGAGTAGCTTCAAAACTTATCTTCAATAACACCAGCAACTGAGGCTGGAAGCAGTGTTCTCTTTCCACCTCTCAAAGCTATTTAATACATTTGTGCTGATTTTTGCCATTTGCCTCCTGAGAACTGCACGCTTCTGAATCCACCAAACACTTCCTGATAAGTTGAGTCAAAAGTCTGCAGAATCATCACTTCTAATGCTTAAATTCTGGCTGTCTCCCAGCCTCAAAAGGAACACAGCCCAGCAGTAATGTACATTGTGAGTGGCAGAGGGGACTGAGCCTAACAAAGAAGAGCCTGGAACTACACAACAGCATTCAAACACTGAAATATAGGGGAGAAACCAGGGAGGCAGTGGAGGAATGTATTTGTCTCCCTCTGTTATACTCTGATAGTCCTGAAATTTGCCTCCTTCTGTCACATTCCGATAGTTCCGAAAATGGATTTGATCCATAGCAAACCACATTGTGTGAAATAAAGGACTTCATGTATCATTTTATCATAGACGCCTCTCTCCTGGCACCAAATTCTGCCAAAGACACAAAAACAAAAAACGTAAAAGGGCTCTGAAAGAAAGTTAAGCTGCAGAGAAATATACAAAGTTAGGGGCATGGGAAGAGGGAATGAGGTAAAGCCCCTGTTGTCACCCCCATTACTTTCCTGTTGCTACAGATAGCTGATAGCTCCACTCACAGCAAAGCAGATGGCTGGTCCAACAGCTGAAGCCCAGACTTCAGAATAAGTCATCTTCAAGGTTATCATCACCAGACATGGAGGCAGCTTCTATCAAACAGAAATGAGAAAGTCACACACTGCCTTATTCTAGTGGGTACTGCCAAGTGAGGCCCAGAGGAAAAACGGGCTGTTGGTGTTCATTGTCCTTGTAAAAAAAAGGAAGTGGGAAACCTTGTGGCAGGGGTCCAGAGAGGAAGGGGCTCTCTTATACCTCCAACCACCATGGCTTTTTTTTTTTTTAAAGGCAGTGTCTTAATGTGGTCCAGGCTGGCTTCAAACTATGTAGCTAAGGATGACCGTGAAATTCTGATTCTCCTTGCCTCAATTTACAAAGCATTGGAATTACAGGCATGTATGCCCACCTCCAGTTTTATGTAGTACTGGAGATCAAACCCAGGGCTTCATGCATGCTAGTCAAGCACTTTACCCAGTCACATCCCAGTCCCAGAACCAAGCCTTAAATTTAATCTTCCTAGTCTAGATAGACTTAAGAAAAGGTAACTTCCACAGATGATGTAGGTAAACTTCACTGTTTGTACCTGATAAGCTGAGGCAGGACAGGGTATGTGGTAACTCTTCCGGGCTCTTTTTGGTCTCACTAAGCATGCTGGCAAGAGAGGCATCTGTTTCTGTGGCCTGAGGACATGAAAGAAAAGGGAAGAGTGTCTTGACTGGTGGAAAGGAAGAGGCTACCCTGTCCTTTTGCTCATAGGATCTGGTTAAGATAGTAGTTGAGTTTGGCTGCTGAGTGGAGTACAATGTCTTCCTCAATCAACTTTTTCCTAAGTAGTCTGGAAAATGAAGTAATCGAATCATTCCTAACGTAGTATAAGTTTCAGTTCATTGAAAGTTGATGGAATATTATGACTAGATGCCTATACTCTGCCTCTGTGCACTAGACGTCCTGGAAGAAGCACCCTAACGTCTACGATTACTCACCATATCCTTCAACATATCTGGGACAGTTCTGTTTTCTTCCATGTCTTCAGGAAGTTCAATTGCATATCCTTTACGAACTAATTCTAGACCAATATCAAGTTTCTGAAAAGGAAAAATGAAAAAGTAACGATGTTCTGTCAGGGAGAGCAAACTTGCAACTGAAATGGACAGAGGAGCTACAATTGGTATTTTAAAGACTATATTTTAAAGATTTATTTTTAGTTATGTACATAAGTATGTGTGAGTGAATGCTGTGTGTTAGCAGGTACCCATGGAAGCCAGAAGTGGGGACATCAGGATCCCTTGGAGATGAAATTACAGTAGGTTTTGAACTGCCCTGGTACTGGGAACTAAACAGGATATGTTAAAAATATTTTATTATTTTAATTTTATGTATATAAGTGTATGGCCTGCATGTATGTAAGTGCACCCATGTGTACAATGCCCACAGAGGTCAGAAGGCAGCACTGGATCCCCCGGAATGGAGTTACGGATGGTTGCTAGCCACCACATGGGTACTAGGATTCAAACCTGGGTCCTCTGCTGCAAGAGCAGCCAGTGCTCTTAACCACTAAGCCATTTCTTCAGCCCCAAGGATTGATACTTTAAAGACATTCATTTGGTGAGATGGTAAAAGGGATCTTCCAAAGTATAAGTAGTATCAGATAAAGGTTTCTGGGACAGAAACACTGAAGTTATGAAAACATAGCAGCTGCAGCAAGCAATGTGTGAACCTCATTCTTACCTTCCCATTGCTGGTATCATACAAGTAGATCTTTGGCCAAGTTGAGATCCCAGTCTGGACGTAGCTAGAGATCTTGGCTACCAGGGGCTTCCAGTCAGCACAGTGAGTGAGTCTGTCAAACTCATCTAAAGCTTCCTCTTCCCACTGTTCACCTGGCAGATTATAAAGGGGAAGGAGGGACAAGTGCCTCAGAAGGGGTCAGTGTTCACAGGGCAGGGTATAACCTGGAGAGAAGTTGAAACCACCTCTTTCTTCTCAGGAATGTACTTATATTCTCTGGTGGGTTTAGGTCTGACTACCAAGCAAATTTCTATGCTACTTTGTGCAGGAAAAGGCAAGGAAAATAGATAGCATGGCTGATTTACCTGAGGGGGCAATCTGTGCCAGACTACATTCTATTGCTTGAAATGGAAGGCTTAGGAAGTCACTCCTAAAGTGAAAGAAACTGAAATCAGAATCCTTGGTGTACACAGGTTCTCTTCCACATGCCCTTGGGGATATATACCAACAGCTCACTACTTTTTGGCCAGAAATGACCAACAGCTGGGATCCCAGCAGATTCCACCTTGGCCTCTGCACTCACCTGAGAGCCCTAAGATCCTTCAGTGGGCAATCTCCATTATCTCCAAAATCAACAAAGTAGAGGTCCAAATTTCCATTCTCCAAGGGGCCAAGGATCCGGGCTCGATACCAGGAACCATTTGTAGATAAAGGTGCTGCTACAATGTCTCCTACATGCACAGTCAAGTCTTCAGGCTATACATGGGGATGAGGAAGTCAATGGAGGGGCATTATGAAGTGGTGGCTAATAATTAAACCAACAGGGAATATCAGGAGAGAACATACTATAATGATGACATATTCCAGCCTAGCTCTTCCCCTATAGGAACTCACCAGACTATTCTCATAGTGCTGGGTCATTTCACTGACAAGTTTATCCAGTTGCAGGCTGCGGGAACCAATGATTTGGATCCAGAAGTGGTTTGGGTGTTCAGAAGCAGAAACATAGACTTCTAGGTACTCATCAGCATGGAAACTGAAGTCAGGACTGGGAACTGAACACAGGGGTAAGGATAGTGACATATCAGTACTATCTTTGGTTGGAATGGGAAGACTATGTCAAGGCGGAGAGAGGTACAAATACCAAGTGGCTGTTAACCATTTTAAAAATGGCTGAAGGGAAACTTGATGACTTATCCAAGAATGTCCTGAAGAAAGGTACCAAGTTATCTTCTATACCTTTCTATGTAACTACAGTTTACATTATTTGTTATCTACCATGTATTTAGATTAGTCATCATTTATAGTGACGGTAAAGCCTCCATCTGCTAGGTATAGCAGGATCAATAAAAAGTACTTTGATAGTAATTATACTTGTTTCAGACTATTCTACCAGGGACTTACTATACAGTCCCAAATCATTAGCCCATTAGGGCTTCTGGTCTTCCTTGTCCAAGCTAGCACCTCTATATAGCACAGGGAGCCCACAGTCTTTTCATTCTTCTTCAAGACTGATATTAAAAATCAGTAATGAGGCAATACAAAAATCAGGCCGAGAACTTGCTTATGTAAAAAGTGTGTCTGGCAGAGGGTACTCAGCAGTAGATAGGACATCTGTAGCAACCCCCCGCCCCAGGTTCAGGGAACATTGTAGAAGAGGGGGGCAGAAAGAATACAAGAGCTGAAGGGTGGGTAGGAATACTGTAAAATGCAGTCTTTTGGACATAACATGGCTGTAGCACACACAAATTCACAGCAGCTGTGGTTACTTGTACAAGACCTGCACAAGATCAAGCCAGTTAAAATTTCAGCATGGATGGAAGAGGAACTCCTGGGGCTCCATTCCCATCTGAGGAGCTATTGGCAGTTGATAGTGGAGAGGGGAAAGTCATTTTTCTTTGGGAGTGTGGTCACTGGTAGGTTACCCATGCTCCAGTGGATGGTTCTACACCCATGCATATATCAGCAGCACTAAGTGAATTCAGTGGGTAATAAGAAAAAAGACATGAAGCTGGGAGGGAGAGGTGTTGGGGGAGCAATGAGGAAGTTCAAGGGGAAAGTTGGGAGTGGATATGAACAAGATACAATGCATACATGTATGAAATTTTCAAAGAAATAAAAAATGTTTTTAATAAAAACCATGTCAGGCTGGAGAAATGGCTCAGTTCCCAACACCCATATGGGATGGCTCACAACTGCCTGTAACTCGAGCTCCAGGGGTTATCTGATACCCTCTCTGGCCTCTGTGGGCACCACACACACACGTGCACAAACGCACACTCAGATACACATGCATATACATTAATTTTTTTTTTTAAAGTATGTCTGGGGCTTGGGAAGATAGCTCAGTTGGTAAAGTGCTTGCTGTGTAGGCATGAGGACTGGTCCCCAGCTCCCACATACAAAGCCTGCAATCCCAGTGCTAGGTAGATACAAGACGGGGATTCCTGCGGCTCACTGAAAAGCCAGCCTAGCTTAATCAGCAAGCTCTAAGTTCCAATGAAGAGACTCTGTCTCAAAATACAAGGTGAATGGCTCCTGAGGAACAACACACAATGTTGGCCTCTGACCTCCACATGTACAACATGCACTCATGTACATGCACACACTCCTCCACCTGCACATACACAAAGTATGTATGGAGGGAGAATACAACGAAAAATTGATTCTTTAATGCATTACTCAGATCAGTTTTCCATGTCAGCATAGTTCTATCCTATTTTCTTTTATCATTAGCTGTACTCAGAAAAATATTGATGTTTAGTATTAAAATATTACCAGAAAGCATTATCTATGACAGACATACAAGTCATAAAAACAGAATTTTTAATTGTTTCCTATTTTAGACCAGTTAATCCAGTATTCCTGGTTTTCATATGGTTAATGGGTTCTTCTTCATTACATACTTTCAAACATGGACGTCTCTGGACTGGTTTGGGCACCAGATTTCTGAAAGCTGTCATCATTAGGTTTCTCCGGGGAACCTTCTTTTGGTCCTACAACAACCATATCACTACCTCCTTTGCAAAGAGGAACCTCCAGGGGTGCAGCCTGCCCCATGCTAGGACTGGTATTTTTCCATAGAGCTGATTCTCCAGCTCCACCTGGCTCTGTCACTTCCTCTCTTCTCACACTGATTGGCTGCTTTCGTGGGACTCTGGTTTCTGCAGAACGGGCAATTCTTTTCCGAAGTTCTTCATCTTCTGAAACTTTCTCCAGTATCAAATACTATGGGAAGTAAGAGAGGGTTCATTTCTATGTAGCCAGATACTGACACAGGATGGTGAAAGGGTTATTCTCAGTCTTAGGTATACTTGCCTTAGCTGCTGCCACTTCCTTCTGTGTTCCTGAGATTTTTATAAGTCTTGACAGCAGTAATGTTCCCTCTGATTCTTTGTCACAAGTGATTTTAGCTCCAGAAGCCTTACAGATAGAACGAATCGTCTCGCCGCCTCTCCCTACATTGAGCAATACACAAAAACCTGTCCTTCCTTCCTGGCCAAACCTCACTAGGAGAGAAATCACTATTTTGTGTATATTATGAAAAGGAGTCAGTTCTCATTTCCAAGTTGAACGGAATGTAAGATATTGAATGGAAATAAGGAGCTACTGATGTAATTACTGTAGAAAAGAGAATATAGGACTCTGTTTTAACCATTTTATTTAAACTCTGCACTTTGGCCAGGTTAGCTTTCCTATTATTTTCCTTTTTTTTTGCTACTCAGCAAGACTTTACTTTATAGCCTCATCTCCCAAGAACCCATGGTCCAGGGTGTATCAGAACCCTAGACTGAGGCCAGGACACTTCTCTGCTTCCAATGGCAGCACTGAGGAGCAAACCAGGGGAAGCATAACAGGTACCCTCTGGAGCACTGTCTTCAGTCTGCACATGTATTTTGTGCACATGTGTGTATTTGTGTGGGCATATATATGTCACAGCACACATGTAGAGGACAGAGGACAACTTCCAGAAGTTGGTTCTTTCTTTCAACCATGTGGGGCTGGGAATGGAACTGAGGCTTGACAGGTTTGGCAGCAGCATGGGCACCTTTATCTGCTGAGCCATCTTGCTGGCCTGTAAAACCTATTTGTAAGATTCAAATCATATTGCTTCTTGATTTTTTTCATTTACCACCAGTTTTGGAAGAAAGTAAAGCTTTGAACTCAGTAGCTTGTCTTTTTTTTTTTTTTTTTCCCCCTTACAGAGTGAAGGGGAGGAGGCCTGGGAAACTCTTGGGAAGGGATGAAGGACAGGCAAAGGTAAAGAGTGAAGGAAACAGCAGAGGAAGCTGTCCAGTGGTACCTATGATTCTGCCCACAGATCTCTGGGGGACTGAAAGCTGCTCAAACACTGGGGTATTCTCTGCCAGGATCTGATGGATTGCTGCTTTAGCCTTGCACACCTGAACAGGAAAACCACTGATAAGCAGCACTCGCTCATCGCCTACATCCTCTGTGTCCACATCAATCCGAGCACCTGTCTGTTTCCGCAGCTGCCGAGAAAAGGAGACATGGCAGTACACACTGGTAAGGATGCGCTAATCAAGCCCTGGAAGCAGATGAGTTGACCATAAGCCTCACCTAAATCAAGAAGCTATAAACAGCTCTCATTTACTTGCACTTATGCGTGGAAATTAGTGACAAAGTTAATCCCAAATAGCAGTTAATTCAAAACCAGTTTTCTTTGTGTTTACAACCTTTTCTTTCCCAAATTTTGTAGCAAATCACAGATTTTCTTTCTCTTTCTCTGGTGCTAGGGAAAAAATGTAGGACCTCTAAAATGTTAGGTAAGTGCTTTATCAATGACCCACATCTGTAGCAAAAAGATTTTGTTTTCTTGACATTTCAGTTGAACAATGAAAGATGCTAAGAATTGCTAGGCAGCAATTCTTTAGTGTCAGTTAATGAGAATTCATTAACTATATAATAAAAAAGAATATTTCAAGCTATACCAAGCTGAGAATCACCTAATCAAAAACTGTTTCAAGCTTAGTCACCCATTGTCTAAGTAGGAGTACTCATTTCTAGAAGGAAAACAGTATAGTTAGCTAAAAAAAAAGTTTCTGTAGTTTTTCTTTCTAAAATATGCACAGTGTGGGCGTTTTGTGATATGGTGTCAGAGGAAGGAAACAAGAAGTCAATAAATAGAATCAATGCCAGGGAAAGCCACCTGCCTACTCATTTACTTGCCTGTTTAATATTGGCTCCTTGTCGTCCAATAATGAGTTTCACAGCCTCCTGCGGAACCCGCATCTCTATCTCAATGTCATCTTCTCCAACAAATGTCAGTCGCTCTTCTGCACAGACCATGGCTCATTAGACCAGATTTAAATATGCCAAAGCTAGTACCATCCCTCCCCTGAATCTATCAAAGAGATACTGATCCAAGAGATAAACGGTGGATCTCAACCACAATGCAAGAATATTTGAGTAGGAATTAGAAAGCCCCAAGAGACCAGCACTGGGGCTGGGAATATAGCTCAGTGATGGAGTGTAGTCAGAAAAGGGAAAGTTCAATCCCAAGCACTCTATCTGCCTTCCAAAGATCACTTGACATTTTGTTTGGGATACTATTTCAGATGCTAAAAAAAAAAATTTTTTTTTGGAGAAGAAAAGTTCTCAGTTTTGAGGCAGCCACTGTTTCAAGACATGACTTCTAAAGAACACTCAAGGCTAGAAGTTTTCTGAGGCATCCACTAGTCTAAAAATCTTATTTTTATATTAGCCCTTTCTTTAGGGTTTATTCTTTAGGTCTATCCTCTCCTGACTACTAGAGAAAGGAGGGAGGGAGGGAGGGAGGGAGGGAGGGAGAGAGAGAGAGAATTAGTCACAATACTGATTTTGCAAGGGAGAAGAATCAATGAAATTATGTGTTCACTTCAAAGACTAACTTCTCAGTAACAAAAGAAGAAATCACATATTTTTAAACATTTTTCACAGAAAGTCAATTATATCTTATAAATACTGGTCTGGCAAGGAAAGCTTTCATTCAATTTAACAAGGCAGGGAGACAGTATTTTGCAGGCACTGCGCTGCATGGGTTCACATACCTCTGCTTTCCCTATATCTGCGGTATAGGATATAGGCAACTGTTGCACTTGCTGGGATTCCAAGGCCCAGGGCTATTTTCTGAATAGTGGACAAGCTTGTCCATGAGGACTGCTCAGTGGACATTTTCTGCTGTACTCTGAGTTAACATCCTGAAAAACAAATCAAGGAGAACTGGGAGTTTTTAGCTACACTTGTCTGGTTGGCAAAAACGCATGAGAACATACTATATTGAAAACAACACTACTGCATATTTTACCTACTTCAAAAGCTTCAGTAGTTAAAAAATCTATTTAATGGAAAAGGTCTCAGATTATTTTAAAAAATGTTAGCTAAGGGACACAGACACATGGAACTATATTAGACATTTCACTTTTTTCTGAAGGAGAACTATACATTGAATTAGTTTTAAAAGATAAAGGAGCCAGGTATGGTGGTGCACACCTTTAATCCCAGCACTCAGGAAGCAGAAGCTGGTGGATCTCTTGTAAGTTTGAGGCCAGCCTGGTTTACACAGTGAGGTCTAGCCTAGCTGGAGCTACAGGGAGACCCTGTCTCAAAAACAAAGAAACAAAAATATCAATAAAAGACAAAGGAATGGAAAAAAAAATCAAGTATTTAAAAAACATATGCGAGGTTGGAGAGATGGCTCAGTAGTTAAGAGCACTGGCTGCTCTTGCAGAGGTTTAATTCCCAGCACCCACATGGCAGCTAACAAACATCTGTAACTCCAGTTCTAGGGGATTCGATGCCCTCTTCTGACCTCTTCAGGCATTGTACGACATGGGCGCACCTACTTACGTGCAGGCAATACACTCATACACATAAAATAAAAATAATAAATAAAATATTTAAAACCATATATGCTTAGGTTTCATACCAAGCTATTTCAAATTCCTTATCTACACCTCTGGGCCTTTCCAGAATCTGCTGTCTCTGCAAGGACTGCCATTTCAGGCCTAGTGAAGCCTTGGTACTTATCCTTCCTAGATGAACAGTCTTTATTCAGTGCCTCTACATCTGACTTCTTTCTACTACCTACTACTATGAACCAAGTGAAATGGGGTTCTGCTCCACTCCCTCATCAGAACTTCTCTGACCAACCTAGATGGCATGTATGAAGCCTAATCTTACCTCTCAGCAGGAAGTCAGCTATTCCCCACAAATCTCTCCTTTACGACTGTGTCCTTTCCAACTTGGTCTCTTCCTGCTTCCTTGGGCAGAGTATTTCTGAGTTTGGGGCTTATCGTTCTGTTCCTTTTATACACTGCTAACATCACTGCTGTGGGTTTAATTATTACCTAAAGCCCAATGTCTCCCACAGCACAGCACCTGGCCTGGTCCAGAGGTACGAACTCATTTGGAATATCAATGGCTTTCTTACTGGTTTTGTTCTGACTCTGATACTGTATTTTCACTTTGCTCAAGCACAATTTAACATTCCCCTCACTGTAAGTCCTTATTCTACCTGTCCTATTACTTCAGATGCCTCCTTCTCCACTTCCTCTTTTGTTTCTTTCTTTTTTTTTTTTTTTTTGTTGAGACAGGGTTTCATGTAGCCCAGGCTGGGCTTGAATTTCTCCATAGACTAGGATAATCTCAAATTCTGGATCCTCCTGCCTGTACCAAGTGCTGAGATTACAGGTGTGTACCACCATGCTGTCCCCAACACCCCTTTCAAAAGGTGTTCCTATTTTACTGAGAAAGCAGAGCAAGCCTTCACTCTTTTACCTACCAGTCTACATTTGAACCTAAATATTTAATATTCGCTCCTGCCATCATAGAATTATTTAATTAAATTAATTAATCTATTTATTGGTCTTTTTTTTTTTTTTTTGGTCTTTTTGAGATAGGGTTTCCCTGCAGCCCCAGCTGGCCTGAAATTTGCTACATAGACCAGGCTGGCCTCAGTCTCACAGAGATCCACTTGCCTCTGTCTCCCCAGTGCTGGATTTAAAAATATGCTCCACCACCTGGGTCTATTTTTAATGTGCATGAGTGTTTTGCCTGCGTGTATGTAAATGCACCATGTGTGTGCAATGCCCACAGAGGTCAGAAAAGGGTGTTGGAGCTCCTGGAACTGGAGTTACAGATGTTTGTTAGCTGCCATGTAAGTGCTGGGAATCTAACCCAGGGTCCTCTGGAAGAACCACAAGTGTTCTTAATGGCTGAGCCTGAAGTCTTTCATAGTAATACTGCTCTACTAGTTCTTTTTCCTTCTCTCTCTTTTCTACCACCAAGCACTCTTTCTACAGGATTCTACTTGCTTCTCTAACTACTTTCCATTTTTCCCTTCCTTCTGCATAAAAACACAAGGGTATTAATGTATCTGCACTCATTTTCTCTTCCTGAATCATCGCTCATTGCTTGTTAAGGTCAACAGTGACTGCATTGCCAAATCCAAAGATCGATTCTCAGGTCCCATCTTATTTAACTTTGCCACAGCATCTGACATAGCTTGTGATATTCTCTTTTCTTTGCCCTTCCTTCCTTTTTACTAGGAACTCATACTAGAAAGGAGGTCCTTAAAAGCTATTCTTCCCCCTTTCCTTCCCTCTGCATCCCATCCTTTAGCCTCCTCTTCCCTTTAAATTATGCTAGGCAAGTGCTCTACCACTGAGCCTGAGCTACATACAGCCTCAGCTCTACTTTTTTTAGAATTTATTTTTTGACACAGGGTCACTTTATATTCCAGGCTGGCCTTGAACTTGAGACACTTTTCTTGCTTTAGTTTCCCAAGATTACAGTACTTCCCTCTGCATCCCATCCTTTAGCCTCCTCTTCCCTTTAAATTATGCTAGGCAAGTGCTCTACCACTGAGCCTGAGCTACATACAGCCTCAGCTCTACTTTTTTTAGAATTTATTTTTTGACACAGGGTCACTTTATATTCCAGGCTGGCCTTGAACTTGAGACACTTTTCTTGCTTTAGTTTCCCAAGATTACAGTATGAACCACCATGCCTTTTTTTTTTTTTTTGGACAGGGTCTTACATATAGCCCTGGCTGGCCTGGAACTCGGTATGCAAATCAGGGTATCCTTGAACTCAGAGATCAGTCTGCTTTTGTTTTGGAAGAGCTGGATTAAAGATGTGCACCACCACACCAGTCTTCTCTGTTTTAACCTCTAAACACTGGAGTGTCCCCAGAACATGTCTTTTTCCCCTCTTCTGCATTCTACCTCACTTCCTGGGTGATCTCATTGAGTTTCATTGGTGGCCTGGCTTTAAATCTCATCTATATGTTGGTAGCACCCTAATTTATAACAGATCCAGTGAGGCACTTTCTCCTAAACTCTGATTTGTAGCCTTCCTTCCTTCCCTCCCTCCCTCCTTCCTTCCTTCCTTCCTTCCTTCTCTCCCCTCCCCTCCCCTCCTCTCCCCTCCCCTTCCCTTTCAGAAAGGGTCTTGCTAAGGTTGGCTTGGAACTAAGTATCTCAGGATGGCCGTGAACTTGTGATCCTCCTACCCCAGCCTCCTGAGTGCTGGATTACAGGTATGTGCCACCATACCTAGCTGCTAGTACTTGTGCTTTTATTCACTCTACACTGACCTCTTTTTCCTTTGCTATGACTACTCTAAAACACTATAAGGCTGGGAATGTAGCTCAATGGTAGAATGGTTGCCTTGTATGTGTGAGGCCCTCAGTTCAATCCCCAGTACCATGAGGGGGTTTAAAACATTATATTGAATTTTGATTACTACAATTGTTTAATTATACCCCCACATTTACTATGGTCCTCTTAACTTATCCTCACTAGCTGGAAAGTCAAATAATATTATTCCTATCAAAATATTCCGATGGCTTTCTATATCACTGAGATTAAGAGCCAAGTCATTTGATAGCCTGCAAGGTATTTCTTATTTCTACACCAGAATGTTAATCCCACAAGTATACAGATTATTTTTGTTTCCTTCTTCAGTGTTCAACACACAATAACCACTCAAACATTTAATTGATAAAAGTTTATTGAATGAGTAAAATTTCATTTCTTCTGCGACTCTGTTGCCTAAATGTAAATTCCCAAATGGAATGAAAGATTTGATCTTTCAACTAATCTTTGCCTGCCATCTTCATGGCCTCATATTTTTAATTCTGTCTTTTCTAGGGGAACAGAATCCACTTATATCCCCTCCTCTGGCACATGTCACTTCTGTCTCCCTAGTCTTAGCCTAGCTGATATCCCCATGTGGTTCTATTCTTCCAAGTTTCATCTTTAATTCTGAGGCCTCTGGGATTCCTGGTGCTAGCTGAGCCTATGCTACTGTGACAGACGCACTAGATGTAACTGTTTATCTGCTATGACGGTTTCCTCTAAACTACTGGATTTATGAGTGCAGTTTAACTACATTCAACATTTCTATGTGCTAGATACTATCGTGGCACTAGGAACATAAAGATAAAAATATAACCTATGTTGCATAGATACTATCCTAGGCACTTTGTGTGTGTGTGTGTGTATACACATTATTCAATATTCATAAAACCTTGTAAGGTAGGAAATATTAACTTCATTTTTATATAAGTATGCATATGTCCAAAAAGTTTATTTAAGCTCTCACCCAAAGTTTGGGTTATTTTGCCTATGAAAAATCTTTTAAAGTGATTTCAGAAGTCTCTTCCAATTTTTCTTTTACCTAAACTTTCAGGGTAACACTATCTTGTTTTTATTCTTTATTTTGACTAACTTTAATTCAAAAATTGGTAAGCACTGGTAGAAAACATCATAGATGATAAAAAAATCAAACAATGCTCATTTTCAGATATTACACTTTAATAGTACAAAACACAATGTGGCCAGTCAAGGTAGCATACCTCTATAGTACTAGCATTTGGGAGGCTGAGGCAGGAGTATTGAAAGTGTTGAAGACCAGCCTGGCTTACATAGTGAGGCTGTCTCAAAGAAACCAAGCATGGTAGTTTCTAATGAGAACTGCTGAAATATCAGTAAATATAATTTGTTATAATTTGCCTCCAGATAAAAAAATTCAACACAAGAAATGGGCGTGGTGATGCATGCCTTTAATCCTAGAACTCAGGAAGCAGAGGCAGGCGAACCTGTGAGTTCAAGGCCAGCCTAGTCTACACAGTGAATTAGGGCTACAGGGAGACCCTGTCTCAAAAAAGACTGAAAAAGAATTCAACACAAATAACAAAAATGCTGGGCTGGGGAAATGCTCAGTGCTTGTCATACAAGCCTGACCACAGTCTGGATACCCAGAACCCATGTAAAAGTTAGGCAGGGGTAGTGGCTGTCTTTAATCCCAGTACTTGAGAGGCAGAGACAGGGGCTCCTCAGGGTTAGTTGGCCAGCCGACCAGCCAGAATTGGTGAGCTCTGGCTTCAGTGAGGGACCCTGTTTCAGTAAGTAAAGTGGAGAGCAACTGAGGAAGACACCTGGGGTCAACATTGAGTCTCGATGTGCATGAGCACCTGCACATACACATACACTAATATACATAAGATCATACACATGCACACATACAAACAATACAAATTTAAAATGTCTTCACCATAGTAAGGCTAAAAAATACTCATTGATCTAGAACTTACTCTGGAATAAAACTGTGGTTATAAATATGCTCTCCCTGAAAATTTATAAGGAAAATGAAGAGGAAAGGAGATGCAGTATGGGAATGTCACTCCCAGGAGCAGAGACAGACAGGTTAGGAGATTAAAGGTGGATTATTTTTTTTTAAAATCTTTTTGAGACAGGGTCTCCCTGTAGTCCCAGCTGACCTGAACTCACTATATTAGACCAGGCTGGCCTTGAACTCACAGAGATCTGCCTGCCTCTGCTTCCTGAGTGCTGGTACTAAAGGCGTGTGCCACCACGCCTGGCTATAAAGGTGGATTTAAAAAAAAATTACTAGTCTCATACAGATTTCCATAAATTGCATCTGCCATAAGGTGTAGCTCAGTGGCAGAGGTCCATGTCTGTGTCTCATGTGTAGCAGACTTAGGGTCCCAAGCTCCAGCACCACAAATAAACAGAAGCTTGCATCAGCACTTGCATCTGGCCCCAGAGCTTTACTGACCAGAATGGAATAAAAACCTTCGAGAACAACTAACTATCAGAAGTTTGCCCAATCTATTTTTTCTAGCTAGTAGTTTTTTTAAAAACAAATTTAACCTTTCCTCTTGACCTGTTGAACAAAAGCATGGCCTGAAGAAAAAAACAGAAACTTTTATTACCTTGGGTATTCTTTTCAAGTATCTTGTCTTATTTTGGACAATTACTTGGTAGATCTAGTGTATCACTTTAGAGATTGAACATCAACAGGAGGAGAAACTGGTTTTCTAACCCAGTATGCACACATATACATATACATGCATATATACGTATACACACATACATATATATGTATACACACACCTATTGGTGGGAGGAATGAATGGTGCTAGGTAAGCATTCTACCATGGAGCTACATCTTTCTCCCTTTTCTTTTTTTTTCTATATTTCCCAGGTTCATCTGATCTTTGGATTTTTCTGCCTTAGTCTCTGGAGTTGTTGGGATTATAGGCATATACTACTTACTTTTAGGGGAACGATGAGTTTGCATGTAATGTGGATTTTTTTTTTTTTAAATTTACGTGTAGAGCACATCCCCAAATCACTGAATAAAAATCAGCTTCTCAGCCAGGGCGTGGTGGTGCACACCTTTAATGCCAGCACTTGGGAGGCAGAGGCAGGCAGAGCTCTGTAAGTTTGAGGCCAGCCTGGTCTACATTGTGAGTTCCAGGCTAGGTGCGGCTACAGGGAGACCCTGTCTCAAAAAAAAAAAAAAAAGAAAAAGAGAGAGAGAGATACATCATGCCTTTAATCCTAGCACTTGGGAGGCAAAGGCAGGCAGATTTCTGTGAGTTCAAGGCCAACCTGGTCTACATAGTGAGATCTTGTCTCAAAGATGCACCAAACAACCCCCGCCTCCAAACCCCATCTCATTTATTACCTGTCAATTTATTCAAACTAATAGAGTAATATGAGTTTGGTTCTGGGGACCTAACAGTCAAGAAAGACTTAGCTGCTTTCAAGCAGCTTTTTGTGTGACAAGGAAGGTCAGTACCTTAGGGGAAACCAAAATAAATCTAGCCCTATATACGTTAATATTCTGTTTACACTACTTTTTAACTAATAATTCATGCTATGGAGCACAGAAATAAAAGAAGTTTAGAACTGGGGTGGATCACAGAAATTATTTTGTTCCATTAATGGTACACCTGGAGAAACAGGCTTAGGGATAGAAAAGGATTTCTCTAAAGTCACATAGCTGGTTCATCATTTCTATACACTAAAGTATGCAAGGGAAATAATGGTTTTGAAGGCGAGTAGTGACCATATCTCTGCCAAGGCACAGAGCACTATAGTTTTTCAGTTCTGAAACTATGAGAGTCAAAGTCAAGGATATCTGGTATCCTTCCCAAATAGTGACCTATCCATATAGACTTCCACAGTATCCCAAACATATCTTTGCAGCACATGCCATGCTTATGACTATTTTTTTTTTTTGGTCTTTTTGAGACAGGGTCTCCCTGTAGCCCCAGCTGTCCTGGAACTATGTAGAGCAGGCTGGCCTTGAACTCACAGAGAACCGCCTGCCTCTGCCTCCCAAGTCCTGGGATTAAAGGCGTGCACCACCATGCCCGGCTCTTATGTGATTTTTGTTGGGCATATGTCTGGGAGCAGCAGGTTTGGTTCAGCTTTCCTTTCAGGGAGTGGAGAATCAGGTCAGCTGCCACTGCCCTGTACTCTGCTAAGAAAGGTCTGTGGAAGCTAGTCGCCTTTGTCTGGCAGCATGGCAACACGGAAGCTGGAAGGGGGGCTGACTTCTAGTGTTTCCTGGGCAAGGTTAATTTTCCCTAGTGGATGATATATTTGGCATTAAATCATTTGGGGAAATCAAGTTTCTTCGCTATTGCTGAACTTTATTTTATGTGTACGTGTGTATTGCCTGAATGTAGGTTAAGTGCACCTGTGTTGTGCAATGCCCGAGGAGGTCAGAAGTGGCTCTCGGATCCCCTGGAACTGGAGTTATGGACAGTTGTTAGCTGCCATGTGGGTGCTGGGATTCGAACCCAGGTCTTCTGCAAGAACAGTCAATGTTCTTAACCGCTGAGCCATCTCTCCAGCCCATGACTATTTTTTTAAGTTTAAAATTGCATTTATTTATTTGAATGTGTGCACGTGTGTATATACCACAATGTACGGGTGGACATCACAGGACAACCTGTGGATCGAGTCTGTCCTCCCCTTTCACCATAGATCCTGGAGATCCAACTCGGGTTGTCAGGCTTGGAAGAAAAGTGCCTTTATCTTTTGTTACTGTGTGTATGATGTATGGACACCTATGTACCAGGGAACAGGTATGGAGATCAGACAACAACTTTATGAAGCTGGTTCTCTCATATATTACTCATTAAACTAAGGTCACCAGTCTTGCTCATCAAGTACTTTACACGATTAACTATCTCACTGGCCCCTATAATTCCTTCTCTCTCTCTCTGGTCTTTTTTCTCCCTGTAGCCCCAGCTGGCCTAGAACTCACTATGTAGACCAGGTTGGCCTTGAACTCACAGAGACCCACCTGCCTCTGCCTCCTGAGTGCTGGGATTAAAGGCGGCCACCATGCCTGGTAACCCCTGTAATTCCTGATGAATGGTTCTGTCAATTGTCAGAGGAAGGAATTGAAAGCAGCAATGGGTGCAGAAATCAGCAGTCTAGAGCAGATATACAAGCAGAGCATGAATTGGTAGTATGAATACACAAGACCTAGGAACTGATTTACAGGAATAGTAGTGGGCAGAGCCAAGAAGCTAGTTGTCAGGTGTCTGGATGGAATACCTGGTAGATGGTTAAGTCAGAGAATGATTTTTGTGGAGGAGTGTGTCACAGGATGAATGCCTAGGCCAAGGGTAAATTTGTTGGGTGACTTCCATTTGAACCAACAGGTAAATCTCACTAACTCCAGACACTATGAATTAGTGCTGAGTTACAAGTTGGTATGTTAACGAAGTCAAATCAGCCAAAGACAACCAGGAAATTATTTAAACAATGAGGACAGAGCCTGCTGTGGTAATACATGCCTATAATCCCAGCACTGGGGAGGTGGAGGCAGGAGGATCTGGAATTCTACTGGGTACATAGCAAGTTCAGAGCCAACCTGGACGACATGAGACCTTGTCTCAAGGGAAAAAAAGAAAAAAAGCCGAGTGGCTAATGCCAGCAACAATCTCAGTACCTGGGAGGTAGAGGCAGAATTGTAAATTTAAAGTCATCTTTGCCTACATAGCAAGTTTCCAGCCAGCCTGGATAGCTACAAGAGACCCTGTCTCAAAAGAGCAAACAAAATGAATAAGGAGAAAAGAAGACTACTGGAAAACCAAACAAACAAAAAAATACAAAGTGGAGCCGGTCCGGTCGTGGTGGCTGAAGAGCGCCTTTAGTCCCAGCACTTGCGAGCCACCCGACTAAGTTGGGGATCATAAAGGGAGGACCAGTAAACGGATGGCTCCTCGGTCTCAAAGAAAACCAGTCTAGAGTGCACATAGTAGTGGCAAAGGCCCTCCCGGCCCCGTGTCCTAGCCCTGGGCCCGAGCCTCTCCTCCGGTTCGGTTACTAGTTCCGCGAGCAGAGCTGCTCGCAGTGACCCGCAGTCCCCCAGGGCCCTGACACCGCCCCTGGCCCAGCGCAGCAGTGCTTCCCATCCCTCAGCCCCGCACTTCTGCCTTCCACTTGCCGGGGTTGCCCACCGCCCGACCTCTCCCACTCCCCAAACTCTCGAGGCCGGCCTTTACCGTTCCTCCAGAGTCGGCGTCGCGCGCTTGGCCTCGCACCTCGCCCGCTCAGGAGGCCGCCGCCTGTCTCTCGGCGCCGATACCCCGCGGGCAGCGCTCCAGCAGCCTCTGGCCCCGCCCCGCCGCGCTCTCGCGCCAATCAGCACCCGGATCCACGTCGCAACCAATCCTTCGGCGTCCTGCGGTGAACTACGTACAGGTTTACGCGCGGAAGCCCAATTACCCGGATGGAATTCAAAGCAGGCCCACCTCCTCTGCCAGTAAGATGCTGGGAAGGCAGATGCTGTTAATGCACAGTGCACCTGCTGAGAATTAAATGGCCAATTAGAAGCTTCGAGAGTCCTCTCAGTCCTTCTCCAAGCCAATTGCAGAGGAGGCTTCCGCTTCGGTACTTGAGGGAAAACCGGCGCTCGCGAGGCTGCTCTTGAGTGGAGCGCTCCTGGGTGTCCCGGTTCTCAGAGTTTACGCTATGGGATCATAGGGGGAGCAGCCTGGAGCTGGGCGGTGCTGCTCCCCCTCTTTCTCCCGCGCTGCTTTGCCTGGATTAGAGACGTGGAAATCAGCTGTGTTGCAAACGTGAAATAGTGTTCGTAGCTAGAAAGGAAGTGGGGAAGGCGCTGCATCGCAGGGCGAGCTTCTGTCCCCCTCCCTGGACACGCCCTGTGGACCGAAGGCACCTTGGCCACCGCCGGGGTGAGGGAGCTGCCCAGGCCCTCCCTTATTCTGTGCGGGCCAGAAAGGGGGAGCTTCGGCCGGCAGCGGTTTTCTTTGGAAAACTGAATTCCAGCCGCCGCCTGGGTCTTTCCAGGACCGTTAAGAACGGTTGGGCCCCGCTGCGGGAAGCCTGGCGAGCACGCCCGGTGCCCTGCGCTGGAGGCTCGCCCTGGGGACGGGGCCCATCGTTCCTCGTCACCCGGGTATCTTTTGCACTGCCTTCTGTCGCGCCCTGAGCGTGATGAGCACGCAATAAACGTTTGCTGAATGAACACAAAATTGTATCTGTTCTATTAGATGCCTTTGAGCCACTTTCCCCTTTCCTATTAATAATAATAATTATTATTATTATTTTAGAGATAGAGGCTTGACACGTTACTTAGGCGGTTTTCAAGTGCCTTTTGTTCAGGCTCTTAAGTGGCCAGGGGTTACGGGCATGCTCGGCTTCTAGTAATTTTTAAAAAATATGAAAAGTAATGCAGAGAATGTCTTCTTCAGAGACAACCAGTCCAACTAGTTTCTTGTGAAAATTTTCATAAGATATAGTTAACATAAATGTATTTTAATTCAGTTGAAAGTGTCATTCATACAATTTTGTAACTTCCTTTTATATAATCTAGAAATCTTTCCATAGCAGCATGAACCTCCTTGCCTATAGTAAGTCTCATAGGACACATAAGATATATTTAATCAGACCTTTAACATGATACTGATTTTCAAGCATTACTTAATTTTGCTCTTATATGAATATATCTCCATGATAAGTAGGATTGCAAATAGTAGCTCAAAGGAGTGTGCATTGTCATTTCATTCGGAGATACAGTTTTTTAAAAAATATTTTTATGTTATGTGTGTATTGCCCGCATGTAAATAAGTGCACCCGTGTTGTGCAATGCCTGCGGAGGACAGAAGAGGCCGTTGAATCCCCTGAAACTGGAGTTATGGACAGTTGTTAGCTGTCATGTGGGTGCTGGGATTCGAACCTGGGTCTTCTTCAAGAGCAGTCAGTGTTCTTAACCAGTGAACCATCTCTCCATCCCCAGAGATACACAGTTTTGCAAATATTTTTCCACCAAAATTTTTCAATTTTCATTCCATTAAGCATATTTGAAAAAGATTTTACTTAATATTGCCAAATTGCCTTCTACAGAAGTTTTAGAAGTTTTCGCACATCTTGATTTTCTTTCTTTCTTTCTTTTTTTTTTTTTTTCGGTCTTTTTGAGACAGGGTCTCCCTGTAGCCCCAGCTGTCCTGGAACTCACTATGTAGACCAGGCTGGCCTTGAACTCACAGAGGTCTGCCTGCCTCTGCCTCCCAAGTACTGGGATTAAAGGCGTGCACCACCACTCCTGGCTAAGGGAGGGAGGCAGAGGCAGGCAGATCTCTGTGAGTTCAAGGCCAGCCTGGTCTACATAGTGAGTTTCAGGACAGTCAGGGCTAGCTACCA